GGGTAGAGCAGGGCCTATATCTGCAAAAGGGAAACTAGATTCATCAAAGACAACATGGCAAGAAATATAAACCTGTTCTGTAATTATATCCAAGCAGTGATAGCCTTTGTGATGACCATTATATCCTAAAAATGCACAACGAATTGACTTGGGGCTTAGCTTATCTTTCTTTTAAGGTCTCAAGTATAGATAACAAGCACATCCAAATGTGCAAAGAATATTGTAGACTGGTGTTGTATGAAATAGAACTTTATGCGGAGATCGCAAATTCAACACCAGTGTTGGTAGGCAGTTAATAAGAAAGACTGCAATGTTGAAAACTTCTAACCAAAACTATTTAGGCATAGAGGAATGATATAACAAAGATANCAGTGTTGGTAGGCAGTTAATAAGAAAGACTGCAATGTTGAAAACTTCTAACCAAAACTATTTAGGCATAGAGGAATGATATAACAAAGATAAACCCATCTTAGTTATATGTCGATGCTTACGCTCAGAAACACCATTTTGTTNGATATAACAAAGATAAACCCATCTTAGTTATATGTCGATGCTTACGCTCAGAAACACCATTTTGTTGTTGAGTGTGAGGACATTAAATCCAAGGAATAATACCATGATCATCTAGTATAGTTTTAAACGTTCCCTTTGTTAATTCTAAAGCACCATCACTTTGAAAATATTTGATCCGGGTAAAAATTAAATTCTCCATCATCGTCTTAAAATGAATAAAACAATTTGCACTCTCACTTTTAGCTGTCATAGGGCAAAGCCAAGCATATTGAGTAAAATCATCTATAAAGATAATATAGTAATGATAGCCTGAAACATATGGAATCGGTGTTGGCCCCCAAATATCACAATGAATAAGAAATAAAGGATGTGGAGAGTGGTGTATTGATAAATCAAAAGGCAATTTCTTACTCTTTCCCAATTAACAAACTAAATAAACAAAGTTTTTATTTAAAGCTGGTGGAGGAATAATGGTCCGAGTAGTGTATTGATAAATCAAAAGGCAATTTCTTACTCTTTCCCAATGACTTGGGCTAGAATGCCTTGAGTGAGGGTTGTATTGATGCAGCTTAAGGACAAACTGATCCATCTTACACTATGATATAAATTCTGGATTAGAAACTTAGTTCCTTTTGTAGATTCAAGGATAGCTAGTAGACGAATAATGGTTCCATCCACATAACCATAGTGATCATTAGCCACCAAAATGGGGATGAATTGACTACGCCACAAGAGGTGGTTGGTTTCATCCAGTTTAACGGAACTATAATTAATTATTCTTCCCAAGGAAAGGCACACAGGGGATGAACTCATTAAAGAGGATGGGTGATGTTGTTGATGATGTTCGCTAGAAGTCATAGTGCTAGTTTATAGGGGATGAGGGATTCTGTAGTGATTGACAGTAGTTTCAAGCTTCTTTATTGCTTGAAACGTTGATTGTTAAGTGGCAAAAGACTTCCTAGTAGCTGCTTGGTGCAACAGTGCACATATAGAGATGTCCAACCGACACCAGAGGTAGCCTAATGAAATTGAAAGACTACAAGAGGTGGTGGAAGCATAATAAAGCTCTGANACAGTGCACATATAGAGATGTCCAACCGACACCAGAGGTAGCCTAATGAAATTGAAAGACTACAAGAGGTGGTGGAAGCATAATAAAGCTCTGATACCATGAAAAAACAAAAGGATTTTATATTCTATATTTATCAATTGATATGTACATAGAATATATAGAATGAACAANACCATGAAAAAATAAAAGGATTTTATATTCTATATTTATCAATTGATATGTACATAGAATATATAGAATGAACAAATCATTCTAGAAACCGGTATACAAGGAAAGAATAAATCAATATAACAAGATTGTAGGAAACTTATTGTTACATTATAGTGGCTGTATTTTGGAGAATGCTGGAGAATATCAAATCCCTTAATTGTAAGGATTCAATATTCAAATCCCTTGTTATAGTCATCACTTAACAATCCTACCACAACAACTATTCCCACCACCACCCTCATTTGTCACTACCCATCACACTATTGCTCAGAAACACTCATCGTCGCCCACCACCACCATTTTCACCGCCCACCACCCACCATCATCATTGCCCCACCACAACCGCTGTCAACCATCATCAACATCGCCCACTATAACCCACAACCACCACTGTCGTCACTCATAGTTGTCATTATTACTATTGTCACCCAAAATCCACCATCATCAGTATCGTTGTCACCTACGATCACCATAGTTGTCGCCACCCACCACAACCTTCACTATCTCCCACCACCACTACTACTGATTACTCTTATTACAATCGGTGTTTAAATTTTTATTTTTTATTTTTTATTTTTATATTTGTGATTTGATTTTGTGTATATATTTTTTTTATTATTTTGTGTTTTCTAACATGAACAATAACTATTTTTATTATATTTACAATCAATAAATAGAAATTAATCAAATCAAAACTAACGACTCCTATGCCCACTTTTTTTTTTTTTGACTACATACCAAAGAGAATTAATAAATGGGTGTTTGAAAAAGAGTAGCCAGCCGGCTAGCCCTTTTTTCTGAACCAACAAGGAGGTGCATGTAGTTGAAAAAGTTAGTGCAGAATTTGATGGTTGCACTTTATGATGCCTTTACAAAGACTTTACAAAGACAAGTTCAATTCAAATACTACTTTGGAAAGGCAATTCCGGCCTTCCACGAAACCGGAAACCTCAATGGGGGGTAAAATACATAATAATAATAATAATAATAATAATAATAATAAACATTTCCAAAAACTCAGGTAATAAAAAATCACATCAAATAAATGGTAAAAATTTCAAATTCTCGATACCTAAGGGGTCTGGATCAAGCGGGAGCCATGTATTGAAAATTATAATAGGGTAATTTATAATTTGTACTCTTAAATTATGCACATATTTTTATTGAAGTTGTAATAAAAATAATTATATCATTAAAAAATCAGATAAAATAAAGTTAGATTTTCTAGTCCACGGGTAAAAACAAGATTCATCAAACAAATATACTATTTTACCCAAATCATGTATTGGTTATCGAAAGTCATTCAATCACAATAAATTAGTCAATTTCTTAAGTTTAACGTGAAGAAATGAAAAATGACGTAGGAGTACATAGAAGTATATAGGATTAGTTTTTTTTTTTTTTTTTTGGTGGGGGGCCACTAAGAGGAACCCATACTTTTGGGCTAAATTTCTTGGTCATATTAATATAGTAAGGAGGTTTTTCAAAATCTGTGGGGATGATGCTGCACCCCCAACCCACTCCACCCCCATATTCATGGGTGAAAATGGGGTGATTCTCATGTACATGTTTGTAAATCTTGAAATTTTGAAGCCCTTTTTGAGACACAGCTAAAGTGTCTCTGTTAATCATTGTAACCAGTACTTAATGCAAAACACAGCATATATACCTTGAGAATCAACACCAAAAGAGAAGAGTCGACAGATTTATTTGTCCATTAGGTGCAACACCTTTTGACCTTTTGCACTGCACTAGAAAAAAAAATTCCCAGACACCCTCTGCCCCCAATGCTTTTGGGCATTAATAGTATTTAATTAGGGCCGTCAGCTTTGAATGAAAACATGTACAGATCTTTTATTTTATTATTTTATTTTTATTTATTATTTTTATTTTTACAATCAATTGTAAAGGATAAATTAAAGAAAGATCAAAGACCCAAAATTATTTAGAGGTATGATACCCAAAAAAAAAAAAAATTGGATACCATAATGCTATCCTAGAACTTGTAGCTGGCAAAACCCATTATTCTATATTCTTGTCCAAAAAGCAAACAAAACATTGAAGAAGTCAATGCAATCATCTGTCCAGATTACTTTCTTAATTTTCATGTGATGAAACTAAATAATTCACTTTGTCCAAACATTACAGAAAAGACCAATCAAGGCAATGATCTACCTTGGGCATATGTACTGAGATCATAGGTTTTTTTTTTGGAGCCTTTGGTCTGCTTCTCTATGAGGATTCTCTTTCACTTGCTTCTAAAATAACTCTTTTTTTTTTATGTTCTTTTTTGTACTGTGCTTCGAGATGACTTTAATTTCCCTTTTCTAAGTCTTTGTTCCCCAACTTGGATTTTTTTATCATGAATTTATTTTTCTAATCAACTTCAAACCCCACAAGTCCTAATCATCATTAAAGGGTTATTAGCAATTGAAACATGGCTTACATGTAATACGATCAATAACTATTAAAAATTAGACATTAATTGATTGCATATTAATTTAACTATGCGTCTTAATCAGTGGTGCCTAACTAATTACAATTTGAGGATTGTTTTGCCCCTAAATCACTCAATCCTTTGATACACAAGATCAACATTAATCAATAATGCTTATGTGGATTTTGTAGCTAAGGTCTTTCAATCATTAAATATGTTGTGGGTTCAAAATTTGAGAGGATTGTTTATGAAGACTGGGATAAGGATTAACATCAATCCATTTTAAAACTTTAATGTCTCAAAAAAAAAAAAAAAAATTCCAATTTTCTTCCATTAGCTTGACCAGATTCAGATTGGAAAACAAAAGTAAAGAATAAATTAAAGGGAAAATATAAAGAAAATTGTGGATGTTTTAGCATTGAAGCTTGATTCTTGGATGATCATGGCTTCCCTAGCTAGTTCCCATGACATAATTCTATCTGAATGAGTGCAGATAAGAGGAAAAAATGGTTAACCTATAAGGGACTTACTTCCCTTATCGATTAACACTGCTCTCTTAGGAGATAAATCCCGTTGGAAGTGTAGTATATATACGCACCAACTCCACAACATGTGTAACGACTAAACAGGAATTTGTGCAATAATCAAGAGTCGAACCCACACTCACCTCTGGATATGATTCATCTAGCCAGTGGAGGTTCCCGTAGCCAACTGGGCTACGCCCTTGGGGAAGATTGTAGCTAAGAAAGTACTAACACAAACATTATTTCCCAAAATTAAATGCAAAAAAAGATCCTGATTAAAAACAAAAAATGCACAAAAAGATAAAAATTTTATCTTGTACTGTTAAAAAACTGTTTCCACCCAAAAGCACAATCCACATCCCTACAAACTGAGTAGATTTGTGAATCTTCAAGTACCCATCCACACCTTTTAGCCTTCAAATCTTCTGAATGTACCAACAACAGTCAGCATCAGTAGTACAAGAACTTTTCCTCTTCCTTGTTTTCATCAACAAAAAAGTTCAAGTTGTTACAGATATTAGTGCTAATTAGCTGCTTAATCTCCTCAAGACTATAGTCCAATGGGGTTTCACCATAAACACCATTTGGCTTCTCATCAGTAAATCCATTAACACCAACAACATTAGAGAGGAACTTCTGGTTTTGATCAATACCACTGTAGAGAGAACTCTGCAAACCCATGAGTTCACCATTAGAAACCCGAAACTCGTGACACTCTAACTCTTTGCTTTGGCTGATGAGATTGTTACAACTTCCATCAGAAGAACTGCAACTAGCTTCAGCTCCAAACACGAGGAGGCTGTCCTTCACAAACCCATCTTGGGCTTGGAGAACTGTAGAATTTGAAGCACTTGTGCTGATCGAAAGACTTGAAGGGATTGACATAATTTCATAGCCTGTCAAAGACCTAGCTGGGGTATTTAGATCATTGTAGTTGCTGCAATTGTATGCTGATGAAGTTGATGGTAGAGCTGGTGATGGAGATGAGTATGCTGATGATGATTTTGAAGTCTGAAAAAGTGATACAGATGGGTAATTTGTAGCCCGATGAGTCCTTTTCTGAAAGGAAGGGAAAGGGGCCATCCCAATGAGTTTCTTCTTGAGCTTGGTGTTCCAGTAGTTCTTGATATCATTGTCAGTTCTCCCTGGTAGCTGAGCTGCTATTATTGACCACCTGCACTTTGTCTTTTGAGGTGAGAATGGAATTTAATTTCATAGGCATAAGATAAACATTTTTGTAACAGAAAGCTAGGTATATTCATCAGAGATCCAAACTTGGCATGCGTGACAAAGCACCACAAGATCTACCCAAAAGTAGAAGATTCTTTAAACATGCAACTTTTGATTTAAGCTCAATTTTCACCCATAAAAGGAAAAAGAAAAAAAAGTGGGGATTTATTAAATTTCAGCAATTAGGAGTCCCAATTCAATTCAGCAGCGAGTGAAGATAAATTATTATGAATCAGAAACATAAAATTGTGGTTAAAAATGAGAAAGATGATAAGGAAAAAGAGAAAAGGATAGTAGTACCTGCTTCCAATGTTAGCGAAGAGGCTACAGATTATTCTGTCTTCGTCCTGTGAGAATTCTCCATGTTTAATGTTGGGCCTAAGATAGTTTAGCCATCTTAATCTGCAGCTTTTTCCACATCTTCTTAGGCCTGTTGATGCAAATTTATAGAAGATGAACCCAAAAATCAACATAATGTGCTTGAGGAGGAGACCATTTCACTTGGAAATTAATAATCTTACCAGCTTTTGGTGGGAGAGCAATCCAATTCCCTCCAGTTCCATGCTTCTCTATATACTCCTTCAGCTGTGCATCTTCTTCAGGTGACCATGGCCCTTTCTTCACACTTGCCTTATCACAACATGGAGCTCTTCCCATCTCTCTCTCTCTCTCTCTCTCTCTCTCTATCTAACTATCTATCTATCTATTGCCAGGGATCTATGGGAATGGTCTTGATGCTTGTGGGGGAGGTGGGTTTGTTTGTTTATAAAACTTGTGTGTTTGGAGTCTGGACATGAGGCCAAGTGTATGTATGTTGTGAGATATAGAGAAGTCAAAGGACGGACTCCTCTAATTTCAATCATCAGTTGTCTAACTCTCTTCACTGATTAGCCAGAAGTACTTTCTATAATAAACAAACCCATCCCGTCAGCAACAGAGACCTTCAATGGCTACTCTCTCTTTCTCCAAGAATCCAAAGTCTGCCCTAATAATGGCGTACAATTCACAGAAGGAAAAGGATAGGTTGTTTTATAGAGTTTCCTTAGAAATAGCCAATAGGACCAAGTCTTCAACCAAATGCTGGTCCATTAATGGCCCTACTCATACGTATACCCCTAGGTACATTTAAATATGTAAAATACTACAAGGTTGGACACTATTGCATGGCAACACCAAAGTTTTATAACGAAGAGATCAATGTGGATAAATTAGTTTTTTTTTTAGAGCAATGTTATTTCTAATTTAATTTGTTGATCTAATTCACTATAACCATTAGATTAACAGTGAATCTTATCAAACATTGAAATTTAATATTAATTCGACTGTTACAATGAAACAACATTAATAAGTCAATAAATTAAATCAAGTTTTTAAGTTTCAATAATATTACTCATTTTTTTAACCTAGAGCTTAGTGGTATTGATTGGGTATAAAATGAACTATATAAACTGGGGGCTCCACTCTTAGATATTTACTGATTTGAAATGGCTATAAATCAAAAATGGAGAGGCAAAGTTAGTAATTTGAATGTGTTTGCAGGCATTCATCAACACATGCAAAATTCGAAGCATATATACTGCTACTCTCATCAATTTTTTACACCAAATTCTCATCCCTAAATGACCAGACATATAACAAACTGAGTCTTAACTAGTTAGTCATCCCTAACATTTCTAATAAATAGGTATTAGATCAATCCCTCCCAAAGATAAGGGTGTTTATGAGCTAAGTTGTCCACGAGTTTCGTTACCTTATGATGGTGCGTAAAACGTGATTGTACAGAATATGTATACTATGTAATTTGATCTGAGCTACATGACTCTTGGGAATGATGTGGTAACTTTAGGGGAAGAAAGGGTGAGTGGATTGCACAAAGGAGTTATAGTGGTTCACCAACTCGGAAGCTCAGCTAATCCACTATTTAAGGGAGTTTCTTGCTCCTGAAAATTATATTCAAGATGAAGAAGGGATTACAAAATCTTCTTGGTACTATTTTTTTTAATCGCCCTTCAAAGTGAGGACTTTGTACAATATTTATAGCTTAGTTTCTAGTTCCATGGGATCTAGTGCGAGATCTTCATCTCTCTCATGAAACGCTTTGCTTGATTTCAGGCGCCGGTCTAGTCTGTTTAGGTTCTTGCGCCTAAATTAACCTTTATTGTTGTTGAAAGGACGTTTAGTGGTTGCTAGTTTTCTTCCACTCATTTTCTTAGAGGTGCAGGCTGAGGGAGCCCAAGGTCTGGACCTCTGAGTTTGGATATTTTTGGCTGAGCTCCCTTCCTTACCTTTATACCTGAGCTCAGACTTGAAATTTTTCTAGGTATCATCAGTTGTCCCCCAACCCCCTGGTCAAAGTGGGTTTGGGTAGGGGCTGAGCTGTGGCCAGGTTAACTTAGGTGTCCATAGGTTGACCTCGATTTGTGCATGATGAGACTCCATTCTGACGGTTTTGTCGAATGTGCAATCATTTCTTTCTTGTTTCTCGTAGATGTCCCATATTTCGAAGGGCCACGTACACTAAGCTTTAAATGCTCATATGACGAGGGAAACCGTCTCACTTCACTTTTCGACTTCTCTTCCCAGGCTTTGCTTTTTCTCTTCCCTTGGGATTTTAGTTTTCTCAATCCAGTGGAGATCTTAGGGTTTTGCTAGAAAACAAACTCCCCCAATTTGACTTGAAGATTTTGTGAAGCTTGTCTTTCGATTTTGCTGTAGTCTTCAGTTTATTGCTTGCTCTCGGTTAGGTACGCTTCTTGGCTCTGTTCATTTCTTCATTTTTGATCCCTCGAATCCGAGGTGGTTGCTGCA